ATATCCACAAGGAAGGTATAGATATTGCATCACTAGCAGGTGGTATATTGTTGGAAATAAGAAAAACAAGTTTCTTTATCACCTGTTATGTAATGAATGAACTCCTCAGTGCCCTTTCTTACCTTAGTAATACTTTGCAAAAACAAATCTTAATCTAACTAATGTGTTTCCTCTCATAACTACAACAAAATTACATTTAAATGATATTGCAAATCAGTGTGTAAATACCAGTAAGTAATTAATAGTAAGTAGTAACTTGTACATAAAATTTCAAAACGATTCAAACGAAATGCATTTGACTGCTGATGAAGATCCAAAAACAACATTAAAAAAAATGAGAGAGTATTGTGAATGCTTAATCAGAGAAATTGAAACAGATTCAATGACAAATGTATTAATATAATGAAATTTGTTAGTCACTTTGAGAGCTTCCAGTCTTTCATTGATATACAGGACACTGAATTAAAAACAATTTGTGGTTATTTTCCAATGCTTAATTCAGTAGCTATACTAGCAGATATGAAGTCATTTAATTTTTTTATCAAGTCTATGCTTGATAGTGGAGTATACAAGGCATACGAAAGTCCATTAATTAAAATCATGGAAGCTGACATAGGATATACTGAGTTACAACAGCTTTGTGAAATACTTCTCGTCATCCCCGTTACCACAGCTTCGGTTGAAAGATCTTTCAGCACAATGAATAGAGTTCTTACAAAGACAAGAAAAGAATGCTCCCAAGTCCCAGGAACCTTAATGCATTGTATGCTTATCAGTATTGAATGGCCTGACGTTCCAACAGAAGATTTCTTGGACAAAACGGTAGATTTGTACGCAGCTAAAAAAAATCGCCGAATTCGATTTCTTTAGAACTTAAAATAATTTAATAATAATAATATCATTTGAAATTAAAATTTAATAATTCTTAACTAAAAATAATGTAAAAATATTTTTTTCTAGCTATTATTATAATTGATTTTTTTTTTGTACCTATATTGAACTTAACATAGGTACGTGTATTTAAAAATAAGGTTGATATATAATAATACTATGTGTGTATTAAAAACGTTCTGTTAAATGTTGTGTTTTACGTATCTAATTAATTATAATGTTCACAGTCATAATAGGGCTGCAACTTGTTTGCGCACATTTTATAATTTTTACCTGAAAAATCGGAACTCATTTGCGCACACGGTTATCCTAAATGTACAACTGGTTTGCGCACACGAAAATTAGGCTATATGACATAAGCGCCAAAGGTGCAAAAATGCAAGGCTGGGCATTAACGAGTTAAAAAGTTAAAGTTAAGTTAATAAGTTAATTTTATATTAACTTTTTAACTTAACTAGTTACTTTTGGCTTTTCATTAACTTAACTGTTAACTGTTAAAATTGACATATCATTTGCGCCAAAATAAATATTTTATATAAGTAGTTTTTCTTAATTGATATATCTTATAAAAATGATATTATATATGTATACTATATTATACTAATATTATTTTCTATAAATAGTTATTTGAAATAGTCATTTTTAACCACACCTATGAATATATTCATAGACAGTCCTAAGTCTGTTAAGTGAGAAGGAAAATGTATGTAGGTACTTTAATAATTTACTTATTAAGTGGGTATTAAAAGGTCAGGCCAAAAGGTAACTGTGCGCAAACCACGTGCATGTTTACGGCTCAACTGTTCCCAAGCGAGTGGTAGTTTTGTGCCCAAAAAAGTTTTCTTTTTGGTATTTGTGCGCAAACTAGTACCGCCCCATAATAGACTACCTATTATAATATAATAATGTAATATTGTGTAAATAAAATAATACGTATTATAATTGCCCCTCCGAGAAAATTGTCTGAAAGAAACACTGACGAGACCCAGATATACCATACACATATAGCCCCTCTACCACCGATTATATTAATTTAATACATTTATTCATGCAATGACAATTAACATTTATTTAAATAAAATATTATAGTTATTATTTATAGTATAATACAAGTGTATAATATAAAGTAATCGGAATTGTCACTTCGGGGATTGATTTGGTACTTTGGTAGGTAGGTACGTTCTTCTTATAGACTTTTTAAAAGGTTTTTTCTATTTACTGGATAATTGATAAACGTTTTGGTGTAATTCTTATCATCTTACAAATTCTTTGTCGGTTGTCTGTAGACTGTAATACTTACATCATTTCTTAATTACCAATATTTACTCCGATCGCCTTTTGGTATATCTGATATCATTTATATTATTGCTATCCATAAACTGTTCAAGTAGTTACCACTTACCAATGTACCTATTATTAATTATTATTATGAAAATGAACAAAATCTTATAAGTAAAAGTTACGACTGCGTATGACGTTATACAACCAGTAACAATTTGGGTCTTGGGAGTTGCGCCAGTTGCGACATTAAGCACTCCCAAGAACCCCACCCAAATTGTACCTATATGGTGGACGGTGGTATGAGGAGGTTTTGACTTAGAAAATGATATACATATTAGGTTTTTTTTCTTTTTAAATATTGTTCTATAATAAGACACTCAAGCCTTCGTGGGCTATCTATTAAATATTTACATCTACAGATATTTACCGAATTAGTAATTGTCGATAATTTTAACATGATAATAATTAATAATATAACAATATATTATTTTTCTTATGTGTGTGGCTGAGCAGCTACCCCAGATACGGCAAGCGTAAGTTAGTAGTGGGCGTAGTAGTTACTTATTTATCAATGTTGAGCATTCACTGTGTATAGCTAATTTTTTGTTAAGAATTGGAAATAACATTGAGAGCCGTTGGTAAGCTTGTTGAAGATATAACATAATTTACATAGTTTTGTGGATATGTGTGGGCGTGTGGCCACCAAATTAAGATGTTTTTTAGATGTCTAGTGTAACCCCGAGATAAATATATTATGTATACCTACGATCATATTTATATTTAAATTTTTTTCCGCGGAATTTTTTTCTTCGGTCTTTTTTTCGCGATTCTAATATAACTGCAGTGCCGTAGCCAGGATTATTTTTTTTGGAGAGTTGTTGTATTATTTTATTGTTTGAGTACTATACTATAGTATCGACTTACTACGATAAAATAAGTTGTTCATATTTAAGAATGTAATGATTACAAATTTCAAAAACTTCCATAATATTTCTTAAGCTAATTCACATTTCCACTACCTAGTAAAGTATAAATATTAACTTTTTTTATTTATTTTTTTGTCAATTTAATCTCTTTCAAAAAAAAAAAAGCGGGTAAGTGGATGTCGCTCTGCTGTACAGTAGGTTACAAGTGGGTCACTGTATAATGGATGGAATTAAATTTGAATTCAATGATACAATATCATTGTATAAGAAAAACGATTCTGAGTGGAGACGGTATGTCAGTCTTGGTTTAAGACATATTAATACCAATATATCTGAGTCAAAATTCGAATTTTAAATGCTTATAAAAAAAA